AAAAAAAAAAAAAATGTACTTGACGAGCGGCAGAGGCCTGGAAGAGGCGGCAGATTTGTGCTTTCTGAAAAGGTCAGGACTCTCCATAGCCAGCGCTGCTCCTGTCGGGGTGATCCAGCCAGAAGGGCCCCCATTCTCTGGCCTGGATGCACCTACTGAGGCTTCGCCACTCCTCCTAGCGTGTGACTTGGGACTGGCTCTGCTCCCCCAGCCAAAGAACCAGTGAGTCTTGAGGCTCCCTCAGAATGTGCCCTGTGGCCCTGCTTTGGGTTCTGGAGACTAGTTGTTAGCATCATTCTAGAGGCTGAGTCCCTCCATCTGTGAGCCTTGCCTGATTGATGCCCCTCGGGGCTGGCTGATAGGATGGAGTCCCAGAGCCCAGACCCACAGATTTCACCCCAGGCATAGAGGTGGAGGCATTGGATAGGGTTCATGGCCTTATGGGATTATCCATGCCAGGCAGTGCATCTCTGTCCATTTTCCTTTTTATATCTTTGATTTTTTGTGGTACTGAGGATTAAATCCAGGATCTTTGCACTAAGTGACATCACCAGCCTTTCCGTTTTAATTTTTCGACTCATCTTGACAGATTGCCTGGGCTGGCCTTGCCCTTGTGATTGTCCTGCCTCACACAGTGCTGGGACTACGTGTACCACTGTGCCTGGTTTCTCTGTTCTCCTGTCTTCCTGTGACCGCAGTTCTCAGTAGAGGCCTGACAATCTCTTCCCTGCTGTTATTCCCTTTCCCTCAGTCCTTAGTCCCCCACCACAAGATTCTAGTCCAGCTGTGACCCTATGTGTTATTTTCCTGATTTGTTCCTCACATCATTCCCGCTTTGGTGAATTCTCTGAGGCCTGAGAGAATACCAGGTTTTCCCTGGTATACTTGTTGAGGTTCTGTTTTAGTCTGTATGTCCTTATCTGTCTGTCTCTCTTTCTCTCTCTAGACCCTGCTCCTGGTGCATCATCTCCTGCTTCCTCCAGTACCGGAAGGGCTGGGACTAGATGGGGAATGAGGCATAGAAGGAAGGGAAAGGGGTCTGACCAACCTGCCCTAGGAGGTGCCTGTTAAATGACAGGGATCTGTTCAAATTCTCGGCCAGTACCTTCACCCAGGACCTGGTGAGCTGGTGTTTCTTTCCTTTCTTCCTTTCCCTGCTCAATCTAACTCACTAAGCTCATGAGTTTATTCCTGCTAGCAGTTCTTCATGTGCTACCCTAAACCTCCCTGCCCCTAGGTGACCCAGGCAGTAGGAAGATGTCCACTGGGGGCTGGACATCAGACCCTGCACTCTCTTGTGATGGATAAGACAGAGATGACATCAGTTACAAGTCAGGGCAGCAAGGCTTTGGATCCGCTGGTGGCTGCCCTATCTCCTCTCATGGCCCGCAGGTAGAACAGAACACAGGTCACATTCTCCTCTTTCATTCCCTTTTAGTACTTTTGAAACAAATAGGAACAACTTTGTCAAGTCAGTGCCTGGTCATAATCCCTCCTACCTACTTGAAAGCACTACATAGGACTGAGTCCCGGGGAGAGTTTTGCCTGGGTTCATTTAAGATTCAAGCTTTAACAGGATGAGACAGGAGAAGTCAAACTCTTGCCTTGGGAGCTGTGATCTGGAACTCGTCACTTGGACTCTAAGGGCTCTGCTTGAAGCCTGAGCACAAAGCAAGCATTGCCTTTCTCAGACTGGGATTCTTCTCACTGGTGTTGTTCCTGGAGCCAGTGGCCATGGGCTGGAGTCCTGGCCAGAGCAGATCTAACGCTAGATCGTCTTCCATTTGTAGTTGCCCTGGAGCCCTACAGCCCATGGACCTTGGCTCTGTGGAGTCCCTGACAGAGCAGATGAGAAAGAACCAGGAGGGGTTGTGACTGCAGGACTCAGTGCCAGGGGCAGCACAACACAGGCTGATGAGTCCTTGAGCAGATGCATTGCATGTGGGACCCTGGAATTCCTGGCCCATTTTTTACTTCAGGTAGAATTCATCT